TTGATGGTTATCTTATTCGTATATAAGATGATTAAACAGTCAGTCTAATTAAATTAATTAATTTATCAGCTCGTTCATAACTGATAAAAAGTGAGTAAAGATATTACGATATTTCTATAATGAAAGAAAATTTCAAAGGCAGTTTTAATTGAGCGTCACAAATGAGGGATTAATGAGAAATGAGAAACTAGTTTTGAAGTGTCAAGGGACAAACGAAATTTCTAAAAGGAAATGTTAATAGCAAAATTAAAGATACTGAAACAAGTTCGACAGCTAAAAGCCATAAACGTTTTCTTACGAGTATATGAGCCTTCCAGAGTTTTCTGATGAGAAAGTAGTGTGTGCCTGGAAAGAATAGGCCGTGAACTGCGGCCATATCTCGCAGGCTCCGAGTCATTACTAAGGAGATAAGATAAAGAGTGAGGCATGACGTGAACCGAGACCATTCACAGACGCCTAATGACTTCATTGTAGACTTTCTTATTGATGATCGATGAGGCGAATTTTAATTTTCTTCGAAATTGTTGCGCCGAAACAAGGCTGGCTTTGTGCCACAATCTCGAGAACAGCCTTTGGTATGAGCGACTGCGATGGATTTTTATCTCTATTGGACGTTTTCATCAATACTTGTCTTGATCTAAACCCATATGCGAACTGTGCTGCAAGAAATGGTAGGGCTGAAAGTGCTGTAAAGGTAAAAAAAACTTGTAAGTCTTTATGAATAATATTTTGGTGCATATCTCCTCCTTTCTTACTTAGAATTATGAATGCAGATCACCAGACAAATCTTATCGAGTGTTTTTAATTCGAGGTGCATGTTTTCTTTGTTATTAAATGTTGCATTTTTGGTCGCGAAAGGCTTCTCATAATTATTGATAATCTGTAATCACCGATAAATAAGAAAACCACCAAACGAGCTTCATTATTGAAAGCAATACGGGTATTTAACTTCAATTGTCGTGTTTATGCTCCATTGTTGCGTCAGCATTCAATAATTTTTTAACGCTGTTGAAACCCACATATGCACTCAAAAATTCAACATAAAAACGACTCATGGCTGTTTTACATAAAATACTATTTTAAGCATGACCCCAAAAATCATCAGTCTCATACAGTTGTGTGGTTCCTTTTAAAAGGAATGTCGAGCGAAATACATCTAGAGAAGTAGGCAAGAATATTTAGAGGTAATGTCGCGGAGTTCTTTCTAGGACATGGGTTGACAATTTTTGTGTGACTTTCCTTATCGACGACACGCTAGAAACGACTAATTAATTTCTGGCAACCGGCCCCTGCATTTCCGGCTTTATTCTACCTTATGTTTGTTGTGTTGGAAGATTTGACGTGAAATTGGCCGTTTCAATCAATTTCTGTCTCTCGAATTAAATCACGATTGCAGTGTGATGTTATTGTAACAAGCCTTATAGTCACAACATCGATGTCCATTACGTATGATGGTGCATTCTAATCATTATCCCCAAATTTTTTATCCCCTAATATCCAGATTAAAATTTGAAATGTGTATAGCAACGAGTCAGGCTGTGTTTTAAAACAAATTAAAACGGCATGCAGGAAGGGATATCCCAGAGATCAAGTGAATTGAAAGTTTGCTCGTGAGAAATTAAATTGGAGTTAGGATTATTAGGCAACTTTAAAATCCAGCTCATTAACAATCAATAATATCAGTCATTCTAGCATTTTTGTTGAATTATTATTCCGTTAATGTTTAAACATGATTTATGTACATGTTCCCTCTCCATTTCAAATAAGATTTAGTAGAGTTATTATTTTGTGACATTCATATGAAGTAATGAAATTTTTACCTTGAAAATTATTTTTCGTTAATTAACAGAATAAAAATAATTGAGAGTTCTATTTCAGGCCATGCCAGTGACGCGCATATCTTCTGCCTTTCCCATTGAGTTAATCTCATCATATTTTTTCATGGGACTTATGAAAAATTAAGTAAAAGGATGAAGAATGTGAAAAAATTATTAGATATTAGCCATTATTATTCGCACTTTCGAAACACCTCATGTGAGTTGCTAATTACAAAACCAGATTTTAATATTAATTGATATGGTTTCGTGTGCCATTCAAAAGGATGACATATAAAAATTGAAGAAATTAATTTTGACGCCGGCTTTTGATGAACATTTTATGATGATCATCAACCAAATCTTTCGTGCAAAATATTTCTTATCGCGCGTAACAACGTGATGTTATTAATTCGCCTGCAAAATGGTTGATAATTATCTTTCATTAATTATTATTATTATTGTTAATTATTAATATTATTATTATAATTATTATTGTAAATACCGTAGGCCCTTTTATCCATTTTATTAATGCTATTTGTTGGGCATGAAATAAACTCACGCAAAGCACGTTAACAAACCCATTAAATCCGAATAAGCCATGCATCGTCAGGTTGGCCTTATGCTGACCAATTACACGTCGAAGTGTCAAAGCTCGGAGACACAGACGCCTGTATCAGTAGACGCATCTATCGGACCGCCCACTGATATACCTCACCTACGCTGATTTCCTCCGCAAGATATAATAATTTGAATCTCTTCTTCAGAGATACCTCCTCCTGAGACTATTAGGCACTTCCTTCAGGGCAATGCCTATAGCAGCTGTCTAGCTCGGTTAAAGTACTCAGTTCATTGCTGACTCATGAGGCTGTAAAGGAAGAAGAGCAGGCAACCATATATGCATTCCATAGGTTTTTGTTGAGATAAAATACAAACTGTTTTGATATGCGAGGCGGAACTTTATAATGAACTACTTTATAAATATAGTTCTATGGTGAGTGAAAATTGCAGATCAATCATTATGTATTGCAGATCAATTCGCCGCAGGTGGTGTCTTATACAAACCATCATATAACGTACAAACTTGATTCCCATGCTTTTAGCTAATCCCTTACCAGCTTTTACGGTAACTATCGAAGCTAAGACATCTTTTCGAGCGAAATATTAAGGATGCTTCATATACATACACATTCTACATAAAAAATATTTACGCAACATTTATTTTTACAGAGTGCTCAGTTTTGAGTGAGCTTTACGGCAATACTTTTTTCAGAGATTCAGGTAGATACGGCTGAGTGGGTGGGTTAGCAGAGGAGGTCAGTTAGGAAGGTGTGTTAAAGGTAATTAATGTCGTAAAATTTCAACCACCTCACTATTCAAGCCTGCGCTTTGTGGCCAGACAAGAAGTAAAAAAAAATTCGAGCTCGCACACGCTGGTTGTGTTCACCTCAGGTGATGTCGTTGTGTACAGGAATGCCTTAATTTTCTGTGTAAATTAAAACAGCGAAGAAAAACTAATATTTTAAACATTTTTTGAATCATGAACATCTTTCCATGATACAGTATTGCTGGGCTTTGATTATGTGTGCTCTGATTTATTTCATCATTTGCGTTTGTAGGATTTCTGGACAAGTTCAGATCGGAAAAAATGTCTTTATAAACTGATTTGGTAATTTGGCATCAACGATGGAATAGTTAATACAGGTTGACGAAGTCTGTGTCAGAAAATAATTTGATTTACCATAAATCCAAATAGCAATAGTTAAGAAATGAGTCCGGGCCGTAAGTTGAATTTGTTCGAATTTCTCGAACAATTTTGCTCATATGAAAACTCATATAAAATTGCACGCATAAAACGAAGATAAACCGTTGTAAAACTTGTAAGTAAATTTATAACTCAATCAAAAGGTTTCACATCAAATATTTAATTGTGGTTCTATTTACTGTATATATACATAGACATAACTTGATCTTGTCATTTTTAACGTATGATGGAAAAATTATGTTCCTTGTAATACATTCCACTGGAATGTTAGCAGAGGAAAGCTAAGAAGATGTGAGGACCTTTTCAATTAGGTGCTGCTCTACTTGATTAGTTGGTTTTCAATTTCAATAAAATAAAACATTGCTTAAAAACGCTTCCACATGCAGATAACATTGGAAATTTTCTATGGTCAATTGCTCTCATGAAGAACTGAATTATCGAGAGTACGGCTTCAAATTAATATACATATACATTCAAATGCATATTATTCCATGCTTTTTTTGACAGATGACTGTGAAGTAGGATACCGATAATGAACGATTTAAAGCGGTTTTTTCGAACTGCGATATGAAATGAACTGCATCTACGGGATTCGTGCTAAGCTTGATATTGTGGTTAGAGTATTCGTCTTGATTTAATGCGATTATGATATGTTGTAGCCTTTTTATAATATAGGCTTAAAAATTTCATTTGAAATACATTGTCAATGCTTGTGACCGTTTCGATAACTAATTATTAATATTATTTGAATATCTTTCATTTATCAATGTAAAACTTGTCAAATTGGAATGGAATCCACCCATCATCAAGTATTATTATTGTTTATAACTTAACTGCAGCATTAAATTATCGAAATTGTACAACAATTATTCAATCTGATTTTCTGGTCAACATTATACTATTTACGTATGAACTAATGGTATATGCAGGAAAAGGCATAAAAAAGTTTCAGGAATTGACGGTTATTTTTCATACTGTTCCCATATTTAATCCATTCATAATAAAGTCCCGTACATGGCAATAAAGGCCACAATCATTTCGTTACATGTACGCATTTCTTCCCACAAAAAATGACTTCTCCTGCAGTTGGTGCTACAAGAAAGTGTAACCCATTAATAGTACAAACATATATTAATAATAATAATAATAATTATAATAATAATAATATTATAATAATTATGTCATTATCACAATTATTATTGTGTATCGTGATCAAAAATCCACCAAGGCTTGTCATGGAGGGAATGTGAGAAAATGTAACCGACGTTGAAACGAGTTGGCTCATTCAACGCGATGAGTTTTTTCTTTAAGTCGAAGACATTTCAGCGCTTGATAGCTTGTTGATATTCATCGAAAAATACGAATAAATGCGTAGCACACTTGACGCACATAGATTAAGGAACGCATAATTTAAATTCCAGATTAACCGGCCCCTGAACATGAAAAAAGACGGACCAATCCAGACGCGGAAGCGCAAGCCAAAGGCCAGCAGCGGCAACAGCAACACAAACGCTCACACTTCTGCGGGTTCAGCGTAAGATTTTACTTTAACGGATCAATATTTCATATAACTTTTTATATGCATTCATATCATTCGAAGTCAATGCTATTTGTATCTAAATGCTTGAATGAATCTGTTCAATCTACACGCGTATGTCTTCTACAGATATGATTTATGTTGTTGATGATGCTCGTAGGAAAATCAAACCTTCAGCCCAATATGTTTACGGACTACGATATTTTTTGCAGTTCAATTCTTTGCTAAATTATCGATAACTCGATTTATCGACATTAGACAAATATTTATCAAACATTTTATATTCAAGCAAGACTTGGTTCAAATCTTTTCAAAATCCGTGATTTGTGAAATGACTGTTTTGGCGCATCACAAAAAAACGTGTTTGTCAAAATCAAAATCAAATGTTGACAAAAAATTTTATTGTCAAAAATCTTGACAATAAAATTTTGTGGCATGCAGTATTTTACTTACAGACACAGTTCCATTAATATAACTTTGAAATAAATTTTACAACCACATTAGAAAGTTCAATGCACAACAAATTTGTTTTAATTCGTATATGTTGTTCCTAATCAGGCTGAGTTTACCAGCGAGTGCCACGCCCCTGAGAGTCGCAGGACAGTCCTACCGCGAATCTTACCGTGAGTATACAATCAAACAAATATTCATACAGGGACTATTCATACAGGTACTATTCACACACAGGTGATTAAACGTGAGTTGAAGCCAAATGCAAACACACTGAAAACTTGCATTCATTATGCATTCAGCCGTAAGATTCGTTATCGCTTTTGACTTTCGTTCATAGATTCGGTCGCCGCAACTTATTAAATCGATATTTTTTTTAAATCGATATATATTTTAAATGATTGCATCATTACCCGAAGCCTCGTACAAGCGAACGTTCTGCAATGTCTCATCAATAATTCTGAATGAATAATCTTCGTAAATGCTACTCCGAATGATCACCTTGAATAATTACTTTAAGTGATCACTCTCAATGGTCTATCTCAATGATCTCTCTCAATGATCTATCTCAATGGTCACTCTCAATGATCTATCTGAATGATCACTCTCAATGATCTATCTGAATGGTCACTCTCAATGATCTATCTGAATGATCACTCTCAATGATCTATCTGAATGATCACTCTCAATGATCGCTCTGAATAATCCCTCTGAATGTTCATCTCATGTCCCGCATCACAGACGTGCCCACCGTCATCACTTACCCCGACCATCATTCTCTGGAGCAACACTACTCCTCGTACCACCCCGCACACCTGCACCACCACGCCACCACCACAGCCACCACCCAACCACTACCATCAGCACACGTCTCATCACACCAGTCGTCCGTGGCACCAACCAGCATGCATCATCTATCGTCACCGGTTGGTGAGTTTGGCTCATGTTTGTGGTGGCCGACATGGTGGTGTGTGATGGTTGTGGTGATGTGTGATGGTTGTGGTGATGTGTGATGGTTGTGGTAGTGTGTGATGGTTATGGTGGTGTGTGATGGTTGTGGTGGTGTGTGATGGTTTTGGTGGTGTGTGATGGTTGTGGTGGTGTGTGATGGTTGTGGTGGTGTGTGATGGTTGTGGTTGTATTGTTGTGGTGTGCGTATGATAGATAAAGTTACGCACGTGTATGAGTAAGATCGTTATTTACGCAATACGGGGATGCCATAAAATTCGTATATGAAGCAAATTTTGATTAAAAAGATGAAAATGGTTCGAAAAATTGACGCGAATGATGAATGAAGGTAATGGAAGCGAGTAAATTATGTGATTTTGTCATGTAAATAATTAATGATGTTACTCGTTGATGACAATTGTTCTGAAGACTTCCTAGCGGTTATTAATAATTTTTGGTAAAAATTGTCCAAGTGTTACATATAAGAACGATAAAGTTTGTTGTATTTGTATTGAAATGTCCACTCGCGGAGGATGCGATTTTGTTTTGTTTAAATTATTATTTGGCAAGTTTGATGTACAGTAGCCTTTCAATGTTCAGCCATGTGTTGTTTTTACTATGAATGACACGAATAAAGGACAAACGTATTGGAAATATAAATGATTTCAATTATTGAAGAACTAATGAAGCAATATTCACAGATAATTCAATAACTTATTATTAAATTAATAAATAAAATCAGTAAACGCATGTGCAGTGACAGCCGTGGAAGGAGGCTCGTCTCAACTGCCGCTGCTGCCGCCCCCCTACGTGCCCCCCTCCCTCACCGCCCTGCCCCCCCACATGGCCCACGGGGGGGCGTATGGGGGGACGGGGGCATACCCCTACCCTGCCCCCTCCCCCCACCAGCCCCTCGATGTGGCTATGGTGCATCGGGACATGGAGCACTGACACCACAACCATGGAGCACTGGCATCACAACCATCGAGCACTGACAATCACAACCATGGAGCACTGACACCACAACCATGGAGTACTGACATCACCACCATGGAACACTGACATCACAACCATGGAGCACTGACATCACAACCATGGAGTATTGACATCACAACCATGGAGCACTGACACCACAACCATGGAGCACTGACANATGGAGCACTGACAACCTTGTAGTTTGGATTTAGTCGTCGGCCACAACTGTTGTGTACTAATCATGAAATAGTTTATTACTGAACTTAATTTACTTAACTTCTTCATGAAATTTCTCTATGATTCTCACCATTTGGCCAAATTTTGTCCTTATCTTAAACAGAATTTCTTCTACTGTAAATAAAGTCTTAATTAATCAGTCAGCAGATTGACATTCTTTGAAGCAACATTTTTGTTTTCGCGAGCTTTCCTAAACTGTTAAAAAATCATCTATCAAAATCGTACCATAAAATAAAATTCCAGATTTTATTATTTCCATCCTGTTATCAATTTTTTACCGAAATATTTTTAATGTATATAGCAGTATATCATTGAAGTTGAACATGTGCCAATCTTGGAAATGCTCAATTTTGAGTTTTACGATTTTCGTGCAAAAATATGTGTAAATATTTAAAATATATATATAATTGGTAAGTAAAGCGCAAATGCCATATCTCGTTTTAATTCTAAGGCGATAACTACCTGTTAATGTTTGAAATTCCATGTGTATACGGAATTTTTTATTGTTTTGCGGTGTATAAAAATTAGCCTCGGATTTATTCAACGTTTAATTTTGAATTTATCCGTTTGAGGGGTCGAAATAAAACCCACGTTTAAGTTAAAATATTTTGGATCAAAATTTCCGGAATTCTCATTTGTGTTAATTGTGGGAGAATTGAGATCAATTTACGTGAATAAATTTGTTTTGTTATTGATTAGAACAAATGTTTCAGAAAGTGCTAATAATAACTGAAATGTTGACTTTCAATGCGATATAAATAGCACAGAAACTTTGGAAATATCCATTTGTTGTTGCCATGAAGTTTTTGACGCTTCGTATCATAGACAAATGTGCCAATTCCTCTAATATTTTGTACATTGAATTTTATTGAATTTTTCGCCGATTATGTTAACATTTTTGTACAAATTTAATATTCTGCTTTTTATTTTTGGATGTTGTTAAAATAGTTTTTTGTGTTTGTGCATATGTGTTTGTGTGTGTGTTTGTGAAAATTCTGGGGTAAGTTGCATTATCATATTTTAACAAATATGTTGAGTGTATATCCATGCTTTCATATTGAAAGTTATCTTTAAATATACTTTGAGATGCAAATTATACACATAATTTTTTATGAATAAATTGTTTTACTATAATGTTACTATTTGTCCTTTTGTATAAAAAGAAAGCTTATTACACTATTGCTTCAAATCATTCTCGCCAAATTTTCTAACCGTATTTAAGTAGGACATATATTAGAAGAAAACTGAAATAATTCCAAAAATATAAAATATAATTCCATTCTAATAATTCTATTAGAAAAAACTGAAAATAATTCCACACAATAGTTCACTGAAAAATTGAACTGAAAAATTACACAGTTCATGGATCATCATTCATAATACGTTTTTTGACTGACACCATTTACAGATTGGTGATTAATTACCATCAATATTCCTTTGTCATTAATTAAAGGTAGTAGGTACAATAAATTCTGTTAAATAAACAATGAGAAAGTTTGTCAATAAGACAAAAATTACATACACTCTTATGATAGCAAACTTACGTATTCTATCACATAAAATTTTGCATCTTTAGAACAGTTCAGAACCAAGAAAAGGAGTTTCGAAAATAATTTCGATAGAGCGCGAAAACTTTATTTACATTAAATAAAGACAAAAATGAAGAATACTCATTTGCCTGCTCAAGGCTGAGTCATTTTGAATCCGTTTGAATTTAAAACATCTTTTGTATTTTTTTCTTTCTTTGGAGTCTTACATTTTTTGTACCAAAATTTAGGTGAAGGTAATTGAATTATCTTGGACCAGTGGTACCAAAGCATTACCTTAAACTAATAAAAATTTGGATTAGAAAATAATAAAATAACTGAAAATAAATACAAAAATAAAAGTATTAATAGTTTTCATCAATAATTGTTCTATTCAACCATATGCACATGTATCGATGATCCATCATATCTGCCAAATGCTAACTTTTTGGAGGCTACGAGCCCAAATTCGCCCGAAAATCTGCGGAAAAATTCATCCTGAAATCGGTTCGCTGAACGCTTCCGATTTGAAAGAAGTTGATGCATTGCGGGGTATAATCATTTCTAGTTTCAATCATCAAGTCAAAGTGATATCAGAGCAACTTTACATCACTGAAATTCCGGAGATCAAGCACTGTTTATTTCAGTTTTTTAAGTGACGTCTTAGAATTTTACAGGCAATCAGAAGAGCCAACTTAAAAATAGAAATTTCAATTTCTATCATTTACTATGAGAGATTCATTTCTCACGCACCTTAAATTCACGAAAACTTGTCATTATATTGCAGCAGAAAATTTAACTCGGACTTCAGCTTTCAGCAGTTTTACTCTACGCATTATAATAGCCAAACTGTCTTCAGCTTTCACCCCAGCAGAGAAAAATACGATGTAGCGGCCTATCTTCTGGTGACTGCGTTTCTATGCCTCGTAATCAACGGAAATCGTCAACTGAACGTGAGTGCGGAAGCATAACTTTCAACGAGTCATGACATGCGTACACACACGCCTCCGTGTCGAGGAAACCCTCAATGACTTGGATATCAATTAAACCGTTCGTACTGATAATAGAACGACATTACGGCTGCCGAACGAGCTGTAAAATTTGCCGCTATCGAAACTAATCAAGTCATTTGAGATTTGAAATGAGTGTCAGCTTTATACACGCAAAAAAGTTGCTAGAAAAAGTGATGTTATATCTGGGACATTGAATTATGATTCCTTTGAATATTATATTTCATTCATAGACAAGAATATGCAGTCAAACTATTGCATTGGTTTTTCTCAACGCTTCGATATGCGGTAGAACGAAAACCTTAAAATAATTTATGTAAATGTCGATGGAGTCGTGTGATCAAAATTGGAGGCGAATTTTAATTAAAGAATTTTGAGGTGAAAATTGAATCAAGAGACTGATTCGTGGTTCAAGTGTTAATGGCTACTGCGATATTGAATTAGCATTGCAAAATTGTAATGTGCTTAAAATTCTTTAATGTTCATTATTTGTTCATCTCGAATTATTTGTCAATTATTCCCCCAATCTAATTGTTACTCGCAAATTATTACTGCCATTGAAAAGATTTCCATTGCATCTTTTTCGCTCTCAAATATAACGACGTATGCAAATAAAAATTTTCCTTGTCTTTAAGTGGCCGTAACTCTGCCAAGAATCTTAGAAAATGTGTAATTTGGCTTCATTTTCCAAAAAGGCCTTGAATTTAAGCTGCTCTTTGAAGTTAAACAGTCACTTGAAAATTGGTCAATTACAAGCAATTTATCGTGATAAATGGGATTAATTTGACTCTAACAATGAGTTACACATGAAGATATATTTAGTGTTTACAGAATACTTTCAATTAGAGCAATAATTTTACGAGTAATTTTTTTTAAATACAATGAGTACTGATGAGCGTTATCGATGAGATATGGACAACATAGAGTAGAAATATTATATATATATTTTTGCTTATGTAGAATCTGTGGCAATATTTTCATCACTTTCTAAAAGTTGCATTCACGATTTAAATCGATCCAATTCTTTTCGCAAGATTTTCTTTCGACATTTGTTTGGTTTCTGAAGATCTGCGTGTGAAGTGAAGGTCTCAAAGGCAACTTTGCTCCCGACGGTAGAAAATTACTAATGAGTAAAAGAAGGCTTGAAGCGGTATTTCACGTATATTATTTATTCAACAAAATAACTCATGAGCCAATATGATATTAAAATGTACTAAAATTATGCATTTAAACAAGGTCAGCAAATTCCAAAACACATCTGTGATATAAGGGCAGTAAAAATCATATTTGTATGTACGTACGTCAGACTTAATATCTGAGAGGCAGCATGCTGGTGAATTTCAAAGTAAAAAATTTCGAAAATTTCATTCTGTTTAGAACAGAATACAAGAGGGTACGGAGAGTGACATCGGTAAAAATATCGGGGATTTGGATGGTTGATACCAATAAATCAACTTATTTGCCAACAAGGAAAAAGCTTGTGAATCACAGAGAAAGGTAGCCAATGATGTTTTATCATCCCAAAGGCACTCTCAGATAAATATTTTCGGCAGATGAAGATCACGAGTTGCAGTACTATACCATCGGCAATACCTTGGAATCTGAAGGATAGGTTCCAGAATATTCAAAGAATTTTGTTTACATAAACATTCAAAATTGCTTCAACGTAATCTATGACTGCAATAAAAAAGGTTTGATTATTGAGTAACAGTAAAAGGCTTTTTCTTTGTCATTTATAAAATAAAAAGTTTGCTCGATGAACTCTTGTATTAATTGAAGCGACTTCCTGAACACACATTGTGAGTTGAATATGTACAGTTTTCTCTTCGTATGTAATTTTGTTTACCAGCGTCTGGTGCATGCAGAGATGTTCATATGATGGTCACCTGCACAAACTCTTTCAGTTCAGATTTATGAGACTGATAAAGAGCCGGAGCCACGACCTCTTTTGCAGTCAAGAATATAATTTAATCTCGTTCGCAGAACTTTGCTTAGTTACCTTTAACAAAATGAAACGAACTCATTATTTTTGTTTATTTCTCATCAAAATAAAACCTCCAAAATATTTTCCTGATGTTATTTTATTTTTAAAATTAACTAGTTAAAATCAAATTCTATAATCAAGCATTTTCTATGTTTCTATTGATATTTTAAAATAAATAAAAAATACGATTCATTGTATTTACTTAAAATTTCCTGATACTACTTGTTGCATTCTTTCTTAAAACGATTTAAATTAAATTCTGTTGGTTAAGGCTAGAGTTAGAAGAGACTCGTGTATAAACAATGCTTCGTGATACTTGTCAGGTCCGGCTTAAATATGTGAACAATATTTCCACAATAAAAATTTTATATACATAAGCGGGGAGAATGAATTGTCCCGTATGTTAGAACTATC